TATAGTAATCTTGGTCTCAGATCCTTGCTTTCCATTACCTTGAGTACTTCAGGCCATTCCTTTCTGGCCTGTGGAGTTTCTGATGAAAAATCAGATGTCAGCCTTATTGGAGCTCCTTTATAGGTAACAGTTAGCTTTTCTCTTGCTGCCTTTAACATTCTCTCTTTGTCTTTAATTTTTGTCATTTTAATTATGATGTGTCTGGGTGTGGGCCTGTTTGGGTTCTTCTTGCTTGGGGTTCTCTGTGCATCCTGGACTTCTGTAACTTTTTCCTTTATCAGGTCAGGGAAGTTTTCTGCCATTATTTCTTCAAACTCATTCTCTATCAATTTCACCCTTTCTACCTCTTCTGACATACCCGCTATCTTAATATTGTTATATTATTACATTTCACATTGTCCCACAGCTCCCTTAAGCTGTCCTGCTGTTTTTTTAATTGTTTTTTCTTTTTGGTTCTCTGATTGAGTGATTTTTTTCAATCCTTTCTTTTAATTCACTGATGTGATCCTAAGATTCCCCTAACCTGCTGTGTATTCCTTCCAATGTGTTATTTGTGCTATGTAATTCTTTATTTCTGTTTTCATAGTTACTATATCTTTTCTCATGATGTTGAGCATCTTTACTATCATTATTCTTAACTCTGTATCAGATAAATTCCTTATCTCCATTTCATTTACCTCTTATTCTGGAGAATTCTCTTGTTCTTTCATTTGGGGGTTCTTTGTCCCCTCATTTTGGCTGCCTGTTTGGGTTTGTGACTATGTATTAGGTATATCTGCTATGCCTCTCAATCTCTAGGGAAGACAGTGTCAAATGTGGTTTCAGATTAATTAGATCAGGCAAAATTCAAAGCTTCCCAAGACGCCTCTGTCTACAGACTGATAAGATTTTGTCTTGAATTGCCCTCAGGCAATTGTCCACAGGTGTGGCAAGAGTTTTTTTTCAACAGGGTGGGGCAATTGCTTCTGCCTGGAAATTGTTATTGTCAGTCTCTTAATGGGCCTGAGCAACTCCACACTATGGGCAAGGTGTTTTCCAATAGGGTGAACCAGCTGTCTTCCCCCCAGGCAAGGTTGCCTGTATATCCTGGGTGAGAAGGATGGCCTTCCCAGCATGAGGGAATGACTCAGCACAGGAAACTGGAGTTTTGCCTTCTGAGCTCTAACCTCAGAACCTCTGATCCTGGCTTTTGCTCACACAGCTCCAGTCCACCCTACCCTCCCTCTGCCAGAGCACAAGGTGGGTGGCTCTACAGGGAATTTTGTGTGTTGGCCCTTTAAGAGGATGCCTAAATTTCTAGCCATCTCTTTCTGGCAGACTGCAACCCTGCTGCTTTTCATAGCCAGATATTTTGTGGGTACTCTTCTCAGTTATGCTCTTTGCTGGGGTGCCCAGCTTGGGGATTATACCTCAGATTTCTCAGTGGGAACCCCCCACAGCTGAGATATCTCTTTGGAACTTCAGTTGCTATTTGTGGGAGCCCGGCCAGCCCTTTTGCATCTCCACCCTTCCTACCAGTCTCTATGTCAGCGGTTCTCAACCTGTGGGTCGAGACCCCTTTGGCGGTCGAACGACCCTTTCACAGGGGTCGCCTAAGACCATCCTGCATATCAGATATTTACATTACGATTCATAACAGTAGCAACATTATAGTTATGAAGTAGCAACGAAAATAATTTTATGGTTGGGTTACAACATGAGGAACTGTATTTAAAGGGCCAGAGGTTGAGAACCACTGCTCTATGTGGTCTTCACTTTAGGTCCTCTGTTATCAGGGTTCTCTTCAGTGAGTCTTCTGTTGATTATTCAGGAAGTTTTTCTGTATTTTAGTTGTAATTCCAATTTGGTTCTGGGAGCATGTCCATGCAGCATCCACTTACTCCACTGCCATTTTTAATCTGCCCTCCATAAAATAATTTTTATATTGTTATTATCCTCCTTATGGTTTCATAGTGAAAACAATATGAAATTATAGGCAGAATAACTTTGCCTAAGGTTAATAAAATCTATGATATTGATACTGAAAATCCAAAGTATTGGGAAATTGAAATTAATCCTCCCCATGAAGTCATTTCTATTGCAACTAACTGGCTAGGAGAAAAATTAGAGCTTCTGTATAATTAATGAGTAGAAAGTCTTCATTTGCCTGGTCCAACATATCATAAGGTGCAAGTGACAGTGTATGAAGAAGGAAAACATATAACTAGCTTAATAAAAAATAATGATAACACATGTGAAGGGTTTTTCAATTGACTGGGATGCTTGTTCCCCTCAGACCCTTCTTTGTCTAGAAAATTAGACATTTTTGTTCCTAATAGGTGTTACTGGTTTAATACTGATGCTTTTGTTCCTGATATGTAAATGTTATACTAGATGCAGAAAAACAAAACTTAAGATAAGCAGCAATAAGACTCAGATTATGATAGTTGAAAACTTAGATATGATCCAGAATATTTTTTTAACAAGGTCACATAGGTTCTGACTGCCTCCCATTCACCTGACTTCTCTTTCTTTCTTTTGTTTTTTTTTTTTTTAAAAATACATTTTACTGATTTTTACAGAGAGGAAGGGAGAGAGATAGAGAGTTAGAAACATCGATGAGAGAGAAACATCGATCAGCTGCCTCCTGCACACCCCCCACTGGGGATGTGCCCGCAACCAAGGTACATGCCCTTGACTGGAATCGAACCTGGTACCTTTCAGTCCGCAGGCTGACACTCTATCCACTGAGCCAAACCAGTCAGGGCCCTTTCTTTCTTTCTTTCTTTCTTTCTTTCTTTCTTTCTTTCTTTCTTTCTTTCTTTCTTTCTTTCTTTCTTTCTTTCTCTCTCTCTCTCTCTCTCTCTCTCTCTCTCTCTCTCTCTCTCTCTTTCTTTCATTGCCTTTTTATTTTAAATAATAATTCAACCGTGAATGCCATCTAACGTTATGGTCTTGCCCCATTCCCAGCAGTCCACCATGTTCAGCAGGACAAATGCTCACACTGGAACTTCCTAGGAATGAGCCTTCCTAACACCATGGGATCCCATTATCCAACCAAAATGTTGATCATCAATGCATCCTTTGGATTGATTTATGACCAAAAGGAAGATGTGTGGATGAAAAGGGGCCACATGCTAACCTAATAACCTCAGGGGAGGCCTGTATAGTGGCCTTACAAATTCAGAAACCTAAAATAACCACAAGGATGGTCTGAAATGAAAACTTCTACACTTGATCTTAGCCAAAAGGCCGAGAAGCGATGAAATGAAAACTTCTAAACTAAAAGCAGTTTATGGCAGCTAGTCATGTTCTAGTCCACCATCTTGCCTGACAAAGGTCAATATTTACCTTAATTGAACCTGTCTATTGTCTTTTGCATCTACAATAACATATTTTGGAATGTCAAAGTAATTTTCCTTTTTCCAGACCTGTTACAGTTAAGCCCCCCTGGTAGTGGGGAAATGGAACCAACTGTGGTCAAGGGTAGTCTAGGGTTATGATGTTAATGCTTTTAATTTGCAGAAATTCTGTGAACAGGAGTGGCCCACTTTCCAGGTGGGATGGCCAGGCATAGGGACTTATGATTTAATCACCGCTTTTCAGGTTCACCATATTGTCTACGGCTGGCCGGGTCACCCCGACCAAATTCCCTATATTCAAGTGTAGGTCGATATTTTGACTAAAAATAACCAAGGTGGTTACAGAGTTGTCAGAATAAGGAAAAGAAATTGGGACAGAGACAGACAGTCCTCTTGGCTTCGGCCCAGAAGGGCAAAACTCCCCCTGTTCTCCAAGGTCCAAGTGAGGAGGCACTCCCTGGGGTCAGGCCTCCCCCGTATGCTCCTCCACCCACCGGTCCCACGGTGGCAAATGACCCTGAACCGGAACCCCTGCCTCCTCCACAGCCGGTTTTCTTTCCTCCGGAAACACCAGTCCAGGACCCGGCTCCATTCTCCCCTCCTCACACTAGGCAAGGGACAGTGTATGGAGACAGAGAGAGGGAGGGGGAGAACCTGCGGGACCCTGCTACATCCGCCAGTCCTGCAGTTCCTATGCTGCCACTACGGCAGGCAGGCCCTCTAGACCTGGGTCCAGACGGGCAGCCTTTTGTGGTCTGTGTCCCCTTTTCTAACGGTGGCCTGTACAGTTAGAGGGGCCGGGGTCCTTCTTTCTCCCAGAACCCACAGGGATTAATCTCTCTTTTGGAATCCGTTTTTTTATGATTGTCAGCAGCTGCTACAAACCCTTTTCACTTCAGAAGAGAGAGAGAGAGAGAGAGAGGGTCAGGGCGGAAGGGAGGAGACTTGTTCTGGGTCCAGCAGCCTACATACAGATTAGAGGCTGTGTTTCCCTCCAGGGGACCTGACTGGAACCCCTATAGTGACAGGGGAAAGGAGGCTCTCGGTCGGTATTGCCAGACTCTATGGGGGGGCATCCGAGCTGCTGCTCGGAGACCCACAAACCTCTCTAAGGTAACAGAGACAGCCCAGGGGCCTAACCCTAATGCCCCAGAAAATCGGAGGGCTGTCAATGTTGCATTTGTTTCCCAGTCGACTCCAGATGTTAGAAAAATTGCAGAAGTTAGAGGGCTTTGAGGAGAAATCAATCTCTGAGTTGGTTGAGGTGGCTCAGAAGGTTTTTAATAATCGGGAGGACCCGACGGCAGGTTTAAACACCCAGATAGTGAAGGTCCTCCTGGCCATAAGGCAACGAAAAGCCTCACGGGAGAAAAGGAGTCTGACCCCGGCTTGGGAAAAATCAGTGTGCATTTTGTGAAAGGAAGGACATTGGAAAAAGGGAGTGCCCTGAACGTGCGGGGGAACCGACTCCCGTGTTAGTGGAGGATTAGGATTGTTGGTGGATTAGGGTTGTCAGGGCTCAGCTGGCCCCCAACAACCCAGGATAACCCTGACAGTGGGGGGCCAAAAGGTGGACTTCCTTGTGGAACTCATAGCACTCACTCAGGCCCTCTGGTGGGAAAGGGAAAAAGAGTAAACATTTCAGCTTCCTGAAAACAGCTGCCTTGAACCCTGCCACACTCCTCCCTGAAGAGGAGGCAGAGGCCCCTTTGCATCACTGCGAGGAGACACTGACTACCCTCACTTCCCTCCACGAGGACCTTGTGGACCAGCCCTTGCAGAATCTGGATGAGACCCTCTACACGGACGGGAGCAGCTTCATAGAGGAAGGTACCCGGTATGCGGGGGCGGCAGTAGTAACGTGAGGAGGAGCCAGGGGAGATCTGCAATCTGCCAGGATTAGAAAGAAGCCCTGGTGAGTGCCCCGGCACTGGCCCTGCCAGACCTACCCAGGGAATGCAGGGGTATATCTCCTCACACTGCCCTTACAGGAGGACACAGGAGCCACCTTAAGGAAGTCTCCTGACCTCAGGAGGAAAGGAAAAAAGCTCCTGAGATACTTAACCACCTAGCAGCCATATAGGGGCCAAGAAAGTGGTTAAAAGACCAGTAGGGCCCCTAGAAGTTCTCGTAGCCCTGCAGCCAGAGGAGCAGAGGCTAGCTGAGAAACTAGGGGCCCGGGAAGGCGAGGCTGGATGGCTAATTCTGCCAGACGGGAGGCCTATAGTGCCCGAAGCCCTGGGGCGGACCATCGCTTCCCAGACCCACCAGAGCACCCACCTGGGGGGAACGATCAGAACTACTGGGAAGAGAATTTTACATCCCAGGACTCCAGAAAATATCTCAAGAGTTGGCTAGAAGGTGCCAAGTGTGTGCCCGGGTGAACCAAGGGCCCCTGTTGTGGCTGCGCCGGGGCAGCAATTCCGAGGTCAGAACCCTGGAGAACACTGGGAAGTGGACTTCACTGAGATACCAGGAGGACAAGGAGGATATAAATACTTGCTGGTTTTCATTGATACCTTCTCTGGCTGGCCTGAGGCATACCCAACCAAGGCAGAAACAGCACAGGTAGTAGTTAGGAAACTCCTCACTGAAATTGCCCCCCGGTTTAGCCTATCACTATACATGGGGTCCGTCAATGGCCCAGCGTTCATCGCTAAAGTTACACAATCCATAGTTAAGGCACTGAGGGTTACTTGGAAATTGCATTGTGTTTATAGACCACAGAGTTCTAGACAGGTAGAGAGGATGAATCGGACCTCAAAGGAAACATTAACTAAGTTAAAATTAGAGACTGGCGGAAACTGGGTAAGTCTCCTTCCTTTTGCTTTCCTCAGAGCTAGGTGCACCCCATACATCCAAGGGCTAACTCCTTTTGAGATAATGTTTGGGCGACCGCCACCATTGGTGCCCAGGTTGGGGGAGGAGGAGGTTGCCCGTCTCTCTACCCATAATTTGCTTAAGTCTTTGCAGGCACTCCAGCAAGCTGCCACAACAGCCCAAAGGATTGTGAAAGAGGCTCACCTAGAGACTGAACAGCAGAAGGAGCCCAGGGGACATCAGTTTTATCCGGGATATCTCGTCTGGGTCAAGCACCACCAGCCCGGAGGGCTCGAGCCACGCTGGGACGGTCCATATACTGTAGTCCTCAGCACCCCCTCAGCAGTCAAGGTAGCCAGCAAGAGACATTGGATCCATCGCACCCAAGTGAAGACAGCCGACAGCGGTGACAGCCCCCGGAAGTGGAAAGTAAAACCAACCCAGGACCCACTGAAGGCAAAGCTGGTACCTGCACACCTAGTACTCCCAGCTAGTAGATACTAACAACGAATCCAGGGTCTGAATTCGTCCTTAAAGACAAGTAGGGAGTGTTACAGTTAAGCCCCCCTTGTACTGGGGAAATGGAACCAACTGTGGTCGAGGGTAGTCTAGGGTACAGGGCAAGTTTATATTAGTAGCTGGAGCAACAGGGCAAAGTTGATTAATAATACCTTGGTAACAGGGCAGTGTTGATTAATGTAGCCCTGGTAACTTTGTGTCTGTATCCCAGGTAACTTTGTGTGTGTTTAGCCAACCGTTTTGTAGTTTCTGTGTATAAAAGGCTGGCCTAGAACCAGGTTCAACGCTGTCGTAGGAGAAAACGCCTACGGAAGTCACTGGCCAGTTTTCAATAAATCCTCGCTTGCTGTTTAAGACCTAATTGGAGTTGGTGGTCTTATTCTTGCAAATGTTGGTCCATAACAGACCCCTCAAAACACAAGCACCACTCTGTAAAGACCGCAAATTACCTCATTGTTATTGAGTTAATTATTTATTCTTAACTAACCTATACCCACCTAAATAAAAGAAATATGCTTATTATTTTACTTTTCATCCACTTCCAGATATTTCCCCACTTTGCTTTCTCCTGCCTCCCTAATCTATTACCAATGGATTTCATGTAACCCACTTATGTCTCCCTTTTTTTATTGTAATATATAAAACAAGGGGCAAAACTGTCATTCTCTGGAAGATTATCTCAATCCCCTGAGGTTTTGCTTCCCAGCAATTGTCTACAGTTTGGCTCAAATAAACTCACAAAAAAGTCTTCACAAGTCCAAATGTTTCTTATGTTGACATCGATTTCAAATCTATGGTCACATTTTAGGGAAGGAAAGCCAGTGAGATGAGGAATCTTCTCTAGCACATGGTTCCTCTGATTCTGAAAGAAAAGCTGGAGAGTGATCACCTGAAAGTTGTATTCTAGTGTTGGTGACCGAACCTCTGCTAAAATATGTGAGGAAAGGAGTCAGGTTCTTTGCCACAATCCCCAAAAGCACTGGAAGAAAGCCAAGCTTTCTGCAATGAATCTAGGAGCAGAGAGCATGGTGGGAGCACTGCTGGCCTGCACTCACAAATTGGGATGGTGCAGGACTCAGAGCTGAGGGTCCTCCTCAAACTGTCCCTACATAGGAACCTTAGAGAAGACTGGATCTACTGTTAGGGGCAGAAATACAATAATGGGGGCTGGTTATAATTATAAGAAATATTAATCATGCTCTGTTACCTGTGATTGTTCTGTTCTGTTTAGAGAAAGGACATTCTGATCTGGCTGAAAGTTGTACGCCCTGGGACATGGGAGCTAACATTGGAATGCAGTCCATCCTCCTTTTCTAAGAACTGCCTACATTAACAATCTGGCCTCAGTAGAGGTGCCGGTCTTTTGCAGCCCCCAGCCCCTATTGCCTGCAATCTGGTCCTGGAGGAACCCGGAAGTACCTGCCCTCTGTGACCCCCCAGATTGCATTGCCTGTAACCATTATACCTTGCCTACTTTCCCATACCTGTAATTCTTACTTTCCCATGTAATCTTTGTCCTTCTCAAGTATAGCAGATTTTTGTGGATGTTCTCCCATACTACCAGCATTATTGGAATAAACACTCATATATGATCCAACCCTGTCTCTGCTTAATTGGCTCAAGTAATGACAGGCAGCCTGGACCCATTGGCTATCCGATTACACTACCTCCCAGCTGTGCACATATCCCAGAGGAAGGGAGTGTGTGTCCTTTATTTACCCAATGCCTGTAGTCTCATCAGACATCCAATGCCTGCAGCTTTATCATACCTTTGCTTCTTCCTTTTACCTACTGCAGGCAGTGCCTTATTTTAAATTGGCCTCTTTGGTGAACTATCACTGGCAGAAGGCAAGGTTACTTGCATTATGTCCTTAGCAGGCATTGACCTTCCAGCAGCACTCTGTGTTCATGACCTCATAACATGTTCTCTGCTGCCTACCTGGTCTTTGTCTTTTAGGGGGATAACCACCTGCTGGCTTAGGCCCGCTTCCCAGGGGATTGGGCCTAAGCTGGCAGTCAGACATCCCTCTGGCAGCCTGGCAGCCCTCAGGGGATGCCCACTTGCCAGCGGGGAGCAGGCCTAAGCTGAAGTCAGACATCCTTAATGCTGCTGAGGAGGCGGGAGAGGCTCCCACCACCACCACTGTATTGGCAGCCGTCAGCCTGGCTTGTGGCTGAGCAGAGCTCCCCCTGTGGGAGTGCACTGACCACCAGGGGGCAACTCCTGCATTGAGTGTCTGCCCCCTGGTGGTCAGTGTGTGTCATAGTGACCAGTCATTCACAGTGGTTCTGCTGTTAGGGTCAATTTACATATTACCCTTTTATTATATAGGATAGAGGCCTGGTGCACGGGTGGGGGCCAGCTGGTTTGCCCTGAAGTGTGTCCCAGATCAGGGTAGGGGTCCCACTGGGGTGCCTGGCCAGCCTGGGTGAGGAGCTGAGGTTTGTTTTCAGGCTGGCCAAGTCCCCCAGCAGGGGCCCTCACCCCATGGGGGTGTGGCTAGCCTGGGTGAGGGGCTGATTGATGGCTGTTTGCAGGCTGGCCACAGCCCCTTCAGGGTGGGGGTCCTGCTGGGGTGCCTGGTCAGCCTGGGAAAGGGGCTGATGGCTGTGTGCAGATTAGCTACAGCCCCTTCAGGGTAGGGGTCCCTACTGGGGTGCCTGGACAGCCTGGGTGAGGTGCTGAGGGCCGTTTTCAGGGTGGGGGTCCTGCTGGGGTGCCTGTCCAATCTGGGTGAGGGGCTGATGGTTGTTTGCAGGCTGGCCAAGCCCCCCAGCAGGGACCCTCACCTCATGAGGGTGTGGCCAGACTGGGTGAGTGGCTGATGGCTGTTTGCAGGCTAGCCAAGCCCCCCAGTGGGGAGCTTCACCCCATGAGGGTGTGACCATCCTGGGTGAGGGGCTGATGGCTGTTTGCAAGCTGGCCACGACCCCCAGTCACCCAAACTCCCAGTGGAGGCTGGCTGGAAGCAGGTATCTGGGATTCATTTATCTTCTACTAGAAGCCCCGTGCACAAAAATTTGTGCACTGGTCGGCGGGGGGTGGGAGGGGAGTTGGGGGGCTCAGCCCAACCTGTGCCCTCTCACAGTCTGGGACCCCTCGGGAGATAACCACCTGCTGGCTTAGGCCTGCTCCCCTGGTGGCAGATGGCACGCCCAATCCCATGGTGTCTGCCCCGCCTCCCTGGTCGCAGATGGCAGGCCCGGATCCCGCGCTGGGGTGGGCGGCGGCTCCGGATCATGCTGAGGTCCCTGTGGATGTTCAGGCTCCGAAAGCGTAGGTTTTCTTTCTTGGTTTTGTTTTTACTTCTTGAAATTGAAATGTGTTAAAAAATATTTCTGCACCTTTTTGGGTCCCAGGGACCCTGCCATGCACCAGCTGTCCTTTCCCAGCTCGAGGGGCAACCTTTTAGGTTGCGGGGTGCGTTGAGAGAAGCCCGACTTTCTGAAAGTGAGTGTTTGATTTGGGGATTTGTGGTCTGGCTGAGGAGCCCCCAGGGCCCACTCAGAACAGTGGGGGCAGCCACAGTGAGTGACCAAAGAAACCAGAGAAAAATTAGGAGACAATAAGTGGTTCGATTTCTAATTCCGCACGTGGCAGGAGCCGAGGTGCGCCCTGGATTTTCCAGGGAGAGAGTGAGCAAGTGAGTGTCCACTGCCCCTCACACAGCCGGCCACTTGGAGTGTGACTTTCGCCAGCAAGGGCATGGACGCAGCCACCTGGGCCTTGTTCCTGCCTTTGCAGATGCATGTGTGTGTGTGTGGAGTGGGGAGAATCAATTAGGACCAGGAGGCGGGTGCGTGCTCTGGGGGTCATGAGATCAGCGAGGCCTAGGTGCACCGGACACGCAGGGGCCGCCGCCCAGCTGTTGGGGCCAGCAGGGAGCCGCGGTGGCCACCTGCCCTCGGGGTAGCTGGGAGCCGGTGCTGCACCGCTGCACTCTGCTTTCCCCACCCCAGGAGGCGCTGTTTGTCAAACTTGGCCGCCGGGAGAATTGTTCCCTTTGCAGTCTTTGGATCTGGGCTCAGGAGCCTTAGCCTCACAGAATGGTGGGGAGGGGGCGGGGCGGGTGGTGTGTGTGTGCAAAGAAAAGGGGTCTGGGACCCAACAGTGTCTGTGTTTTACCTGTGAATCCCGCCAGGCCTCCCACCTTCCAGGGCAGGAGAGAGGAGGCCGCTGGTGCTCCCCATGCATTTGGGGCGTGGTGCCCAGTTACTTGCCTCTCAGTGTGAGCAGGACTCTGGCCTGGCCTGGGTTCAGTCACCACATGTCTCTGGAGGGCCCCTTGGCCACCGTCTTGGCGCAGAGAGTGAAGGCGCCTTCCCTGGGCCTGACAAACCCACCCGAATGTGGCCTCCCCATCTTTGTGCGAAACTTCACAGATTGGGGTGGCCCTTGCTTGTCTGGCCCACTGGCAGCATAACCCCTGCAATGCAAGGCAAAGCCCAGGAGCACTTGGGGCCCATGTCACTGACCCGGGGCAGGCAGGGTTTGCCAGTGTGTGGCTGTTCCACCCTCTCCTGCAATTCACTGCACTTTCCAGGTGCCTCCTCCTGGTATTTCCCTCTTCTCAGGCTCTCCTGGCCCCTACAGCCTCCTTTCCTCCAGGGCCCGAGGTCCATCCAGCTAAGGGTTTGGGGTTCTTCCTCTGGCCTCCCCTGTGCTTGGTGCCGACCCCGACCCCAGGCGGGAGCCAGGCTGGAGACCGGTAGCCAGGCGGTATGAGTGTGACCCCCCACACAAGGAGGATGTGGGGGCGGGCCATGCCTGCAGCTTCACACTGGCCTGGAGAGCACAAACCTCCGGCCTTAGGTGCATTGGCTCGCACCAGTTCCAAGCACTCCTAGTGGCCTGGCCGCTCAGCCTGGGCCTGAAGCCACCAGCCCTTGGAGGGCCCCGCGCCTGTCTGCGCCGGCGCACCCCCCGGGCCAGGGCTTCTCCTCACAGGAAATGTACTTTATTACACTTTGGAAGGCTGGTAGGACGCTTGCAGACTCCTCGGGCTCTGCTGCGAGCAGGAAGAGGAGCCCAGGAGTGGGCCCCCGGTCTCCGGTGGGTGGGCAAGGGCTCGGGAGAGGGGATGGACACCACTTGCCTTCATCCCCAGCCCCCGCTCACCCCCAGATCGCACTCGGGAGTGGGCCCTGTGTCTCTAGTGTGCGGTGGAGGGCTCCAGGAGGCGATCAGCGATTGCTTTGCCTGAGCCCTCGCCCCCCAGGTCGCACATGGGGGCCTGGATGGCGGCTTGCTCTGTCCTAATCTGCCTGCAGTATGCAAATTAGCCACCATCTTTGTTGACGGTTAACCGCCATCTTAGTTGGCAGTTAATTTGCATATCTCGCTGATTAGCCAATGGGAAGGGTAGCGAAGTTACGGTTAATTACCATGTTTGTCTATTATT